GTGCACCCCTGGACCTCAACCGCAAGGATCCGAGCGCAGTGTGCACCGCTGGACCTCAACCGCAAGGATCCGATCGCAGTGTGCACCGCCGGACCTCAACCAGATAGTTTGCCAGATAAAATGCCAGATAGAATGCCAGGTAGATTGCCAGATAGAATGCTGCAAGAAGATATGCCAGATAGTATGCCAAATAGTGTGTCAGATAGATTGCTAGATACATTGCCAGATAGAATGCCAGAAAATATGCCAGATAGAATGCCAGATAAAATGCCAGATAGTATGCCACACAGTATGCCAGATAGTATGTCAGATAGATTGCCAGATGGAATGGCAGATTGAATGGCAGATAGTATGCTAGATAGTTTGCCAGATAGAATGCAAGAAGATATGCCAGATAGAATGCCAGGTGAAACACGGGGATTAATTGAAGCAAGATAATTTGCTGGTGCTTTGCTGAATTCGATTTGATCCTTTGTATATTGAATGTCATGGTGGGGATCACTCGAAGTAAAGTAATTATTTTTTGTTTTCCTATTTAGGTCAATCTGTGTTATTTCTATTTCGTTCAACCTTCAAGCATGTGAGCCTAAGTCTCACCTAAAGGCATATGTTCTTTGCTCTTACAATGAAAGCGTCTGAGCCCAACACTCCCTTTGTCCTTGTCGAAATTCCATGTACAAGTCTGTGCATTAACTTCTGATTGGTATCAATGTGGTTGCCAATTGCATGTCCAATCAGCTTGACATGAAACTGTAATGACCTTCCAATTTACATGAAATTGTTATGAATCTGTGCAAGCTGTAGTTCAAATTCAATGCTTGTTGCATTTGCTTCGGCTTTGTAATTTCGAAGCCTCCTCGACTTGTGCATCTTGTAGATCAAGCGTTTTACATCTTATTCTGGCAAACTTCTAATTTTAATTCCAATTCCTTTCTAATTCAACTCTCATCTATTTTTAAATGGATTATAGTTATAGTTCAATACAAGTTTAGTTGAAATTTGGATTTAATTCAGTTCTATCTTAGCTCTAACTCAAATCCAATTTAATTCTACCTATATTGCGGTACCTTATTATAGAAGATATCAAACAATATTTCCAAATAGAAGATTCGAGTTTTAGCCAAATTTTGAGTTAACCCCTCAAATAGAAGAAACTCACTAAGGAACCGGGGTATGCAGAGACCATCAAACACCTAAACAGATAGAAGAAAATGACAAAAATTGTCACAGATAAACCATGATCAAACACCTAAACAAATAGAAGAAAATGACAAAAATTGTCACATATAAGCCATGATCAAACACCTAAACAAAAAAATAACGTTGTCGCCCTTTTCTGCCGCCACAAATAAGCAGACCTTGCCTGCGGGAACAAGTGTGATGGCATTCAACCTACTTCCGATGGCCTCCAAGCTGATAGCAATCCAGTTGCGATGGTTCCAGTTGCGATGGGGCTTGAGGTATAGTCTCACTAAATAGAAGATATACCCCACAGGCACCCCTTTTGTTTCTCCTCTCCTCTCACGCTACACACCAACGCGCCTTCGTCACTTTGGCTGCCAGTCTTTGCCACAATAGTCTTTGGCCGGTGGGTGGAAAAGTGTGTCTTGGAAAACATGTACAAATATAAATAGATATGTGTATAAGAAAATCCTAGAGCCTGAAAGATCTTTATACATCATGTTTCCATTTTCCTGACACAAAACGGCTGCTAAAACCAAACAACGGGCGGGCGACCTAGACTCTCCCAATTTTGTGAAATGAGAACTAAACAACAACCTACAGGCACAAGAACGCAATAGTCAACAAACCAACTCGTCTCCCGTCTCCCACTGCCAAGCAGCTATATATATATAACGCTCTTTTTAGCCCAGAGGATGGAACTGAAACAGCCATCAGCTCAACTAAGGCTGACAAATCTGCATCAGCTTATATACTGCTGACAAAATGTCACCACAGTCGGCACTGCGGCCATCTCTCCCCCTTTAATGGTGTGGGTGGGTGGGCGGTGGGTGGGTGGGTGGGTGGGTGCGGGTGGGTGGGGGGGTGCGGGTGGGTGGGGGGAAAATTCAGTCTTCTATTCATCTGGCTCCACGTCCAAATCTCTCTCCGCTCCGTTGCGGACTGCCCCAAATTTGATCTTCTATTCATCTGGCTCCGCGGCCAAACCCCGTCTCCGCCCCGTTGCGGACTGTCATGATCTTCTATTCATCTGGCAATTTTTGTGGATTTTTTCAAACCGGGCAAATAGAATATATTCACAACCGATTTCTTCTAAAATAAGCTACCGTACTATAATTCTATTCTAGCTCTAGTCTATTTAGTTTAAGAAAACACATGCTACAAAACCCCGTGTTTTACAGTGTTTTTTGCCCTGGGAGTGCTAGGAACAAGACTAAAACTCTTTTACTGGAGATAATATAGACATATATTAAAAAAATGTTTTATGTACAAGCTTCTATTTCAAGAGCTTCCCTCTAGATCTCTGGGGATGATCATTTCTACAATAAAAATATATAAAAGCGTTCATTTCAAAAGCTTTCGTCTGGATCTCTGGAAATGGTCATGTCAATTTAAACATGCTATATATCAATAAATAAGTTTTCTGTCAAAAGATTCCCTTTCATGAAAACACACGTATATGGGATATTGCAAGCGGGTAGCGCGCTATTTTCAGCCTGAAAGGGGCTAGCGAACAAGTGCAAATGTCAAGCTGTACAAAAGATACATTATGCCTTGCACCCCACTTGAAAGGGGCTGCTCGCAGGCCTAGGGAATGGTAGGCATTCCATAGCCTGGGCAACACTTGCAACTCCTCAGTTGCTGGTAAGGTCTGCTGCGTTGTTGCAGCCTGGGGCAGGTGGAATCCACGTGGAACACTTCTCTGCCCTCTAGGATGTAAACTTCCGAAAAGCGTCCAGTGTTCCTTTCGCACTGGATGGCCACATCTTTGCTCTCGGGCCGCGCCGGCTTGAAGCTCAAGCCCCCACTCAAGGCAAGGTGCCTTCCCACCATGCGGAAGCACCACCACAATGCCGTGCCCTGCATGATCAGCAAAATGCCGAAGGCCACAGCAAGGTCCGTGAAGATCCAATCGAATCCCCACTTCGATGCTTCTGTATTGGGCTCTTCAGTCTTCATACCCTCAGCGCTCTGCAAGAGGGTCAGCATGGCCATGACCAGGGCCTGCTTGCTGAACCCACTGAGGGCAATGGCGTTGATGCTCTCAACATGCTCCTTGCTCTCCTGCTCGTAGGCTGTCTCCTCCTTCAGCCCGATTCCCAGCTTCAACCTCAGCACATTGAACCTCTTCACTGCCAAGGCCTTAGTGCCAAAGTCTGCTGTGTTGTCTTGGCTTGGTACAGCATGCAAGCTGAACAACTTTCGATGCAAAGCGTCTTGCGCCCACAAAGACTTCACTTCTAAGTGCCGGATCCTTCCAACCCCCTGGCGCTGGAACACGCCACGAGCTGCGCTGCTGTCAAGGTAGACCTCCATCTGGAGCGGGAAGCCGATGAAGGCAAACACCTCCTTCATGAACAATCCCTCACTGCAGGCAGCCACGCCACCGTTGAACTCAGCTTCACCAGACGACAGGCAAAGCATCTGGAGGCTCCTGGCGTAGCTGAACAGTAAACAGCCACCAACCTCAAACATTGCACAGGCACAGCTCTTCCTGGTCTTCTTGCAGTTTGCCCAGTCAGTATCTGAATGCACCTTCAGGATCTCGATCTCGCCATTCTTGGGCAGCCACACGCCATAGTCCTTTGTGCCTTGTAGGTAGCGTGCCAAACGATGCAGCTTGTGTAGGCTTCCATCCGTAGGCTCCTTCATGTCTTTGGTCAGCTCACGGACTGCGAACTGCACATCCGTCCTGTCGTAGGAGAGGTACAGGGCAATGCCAACTCCTGCCCTGTAGATTCTCAAGCTCTCCCCACTCAACTTGTTGCCCTCCTTGACCTC